CCAGTTCCAGCAGTGACTTCCAGGCACCAAGGGGTTCAAACTCTTAAGGCCTGTGGTTTTAAGTGGCAGAGTCAAAATTTGCTCTGTGATCCCACTCAGGAAGTCATGCTATCAAGTTCAGAGGCGTGATACACCACCTTGTAGACCACAGAGGTTATTCGTGCTTCAGAAAGCCCATGCTCTGTTCCGGAGGAGTGGCAAACCTACTCTACAGTGGGTACAATTAAGGGCCCTTATAATAAAATGCTCTTCTGGCCAACAAAGTAGTTCTCAGCCATCTTTGGACTCCCAGATGTTAGGCGAGGCCTAGCTCAGGGTAGAGTCTCAAAACTGGCTTGCTGAACAAATAAACCATAAAGCAGAATTATAAGAGCGTAGATGAGAGGCCAGAGCCACACACAAGGAGTGGCCCAGGAAAACTGACCCCGGTCTTCAGTGGAATCCGACCATGAACTCGTTCCCAAATAAACAGCCATGAGAAATGACTGGGACAATTGGGTTTTGTTCTGCTCAGGTTTGTGATGTGCAATCATTTGTCCATGTTCAACGGGTGTCCTGCCACTGAGCTACATCCCAAGTCTTTGTGTATGCGCGTGTGTGTGTGTGTGTGTGTGTGTGTGTGGGAGAGAGAGAGAGAGAGAGAGAGAGAGAGAGAGAGAGAGAGAGAGAGAGAGAGAGAGAGAGAGACAAACAATACAGCCCAGGCTGGGCTCAAACACTTGTCTCTGTCTCCTGAGGGTTACACAGTCACAACTGCCTAAGGATCTTCAGTGTGTACTGAGTGTTGGATAATAGCAAGGAATTGTAGTGATTTGGGGACCCTAATGACTATCAAATCTCTGTCTGTGAAATACGAAATACAGAAACAGACATGATGTTTTCAAAGGCTTTGGGGGAGGCAGACAGATACAGGTGACGCTGGACAGTAATACCCGGATGGCGTGGCCTGGCAGGGGCACACTGCTTTTCACTCCTGAGAACCTCTGGGGAGCTCATTAAGTAGAAAAGCTGAGAAACTCAATGTGGGGTGGCAGACAGAAGAGGAGGCCTTTCTATCTGAACTTGGAAGCCAGCAAGATCTCAAGACATGGAAAGCCGGGAACGTCATGGAGTTCCCTAGACCCACAGAGGCCTAGGAGCAGGATGGGCCAGTCGTGGCTCAGGAACCCCAGTCAGACTCCAAGGCAAGCCCTGTGGAGACTGAGAGCCACCTGTGTTGCTGACCTGTTTCTCAGGGATGTGGAAAGTGCCGACAGCCAAGATCCTGGCAGAGGACTCATGGGTACTGGGTACTTCGTGCAGGCCGTGGGCGGGTACTGCACAACCTCCCCAAACAATCTATTTGTTCTTCTTGTTCCAGCAAGCCCTGACTCAAGGACAGACCCTTGTCCACTTCTGGCCTTGTACACAACCTTCTTCAAGCTCTGTGTTCCTCCAGAGAAGCCCCCTCCGGGAAGGGCAGCACTGTCCCTCTCTGGGCACTATGGTCATCTTGGGGTTCTCATTCCTATTGTCTTCTTCAAGACCCTCTGCTTATGAAGAGAAGGCAGGTCAGAGGAGGCCAGTCCAGAGTGGACCAGCGGAGAATCCACCTGCTTCTCCCCCAGCCCCTCCTACCCATAACCTGAACCTCTCCTTTCCTAGCACTGTCTACGGAATAAAGTGGGGTTCCTGGGGAGCTAGCCTTTGCTACTGCCTTCTTAATGTGGGTGACTCACCCCAGTTCATCTTCCCAGAGACCACCAGGGCCCTTTGCTGGGTGAGGGTGGGGCCTGAGAGCCCGCCACACCTTACAACCGCTCATCTCTAGGACTTGAGCTTCTCATTTACCTCTTGAGATCATGGAGAAAAAAAACAAACCTGACCTAAGCTACAGCACAGCCTTGGCCTTCACCTCTGGTGTATGACCAATGAAGGCCTAGAATCACTCAGTAATTGCCATGGCAACATTGGGTGAGGTGGGCGGTTCCCCTCCCACATGCTTATCTCTCTCTACTCAGCCAGCAGTCCTGGTAACTCATGGCTCAGCATTGCAAAACCAGATAGAAAATATTTACAATGAGAGTTGACCCAAAAAAAAAGACTTCCATGACATCAACTTGACCTGACCTCCTCCAGGTGAGATGACTTCAGACAGGGGATACAATCTGTCCACGCCTCAGGGAGTCGGGGCAGAAGGGGGTAGGGCTTAGTAGGTGCAAAGAGCGGTAGCCTTGAAGTCATACCTGGGCCAGAGTTCAAATCCTCCCATGCCCAACCCCACCACCCCTCTCGCCTGGATATTGGAATACAGAGTTCACCTCAGTTTGTGTTTTCACGTCATACCGTTCTACAGACTATACGGGAACTCCTGGGCGGTGCTTCTCAAATGGCCGTCTGACCTTTCAGGCTGGGGACAGGGGCTCTTGTGAACTTGACTTGGGAGGTAAGAGCCCTTGGACAGACAGGGGGTACAACGGTGACTCCAAGGCAGGCTTCTGGGAAGTGCCCTCCCCTGGTCCCTAAGTTCCTACTGTCCTTCTGATGCACCCAGGTGGACGACACTCAATGTCTCGACTCAGCTTAGAGAGACCCGAAAGGAGCAGCCTCAACGCTCAGATTACGTAGGTCTGTGCGAGATCGTCTTGATGATGAACTGATGTAAGAGGGCCTAGCTTACTGTGGGTGACAGACAACATGTCTCATGCAGGTGGGACAAGGCTGTATGAGAAAAACAGCTAAGCACAAGCCAGTGGGGGGGGGGGGGGGGAAGCTGAGCCCCTGCATGATTTCTGCTTCAAGCTGGCTCTGGCTTGAGCGTCTGCTCTGACCCTCCCCAAGGGTGAACTGGGACATGGAAGCTTCCCTAGGTGGCTTTTGGTTATGATATCTGTCCCAGCAAGAGAATAAGACTAAACTGGTCACGAATGCTGGAATTCTTTGCAGTGGGCCATAAAGCATAACAAAGTGGTCAGCCAGCTTTCTGTGGGGAGCCAGTGCGTGTCCTGTCCCCTGACAAATTCTTATGGCGTCTAAGGCGTCTTCACGTTCCCTTTCCCCAGTTGACTAGCCCGAGCACCATGAATGATGGGACAGCCTCCTTCCGTCCCCAGGTGCAGCCTTCACAAAAGTGCTGTGGTCACTGCGTGCCTAGGCCAAGCGGCCTCACCGCCGGCCTGCCAGCTGAACATGCTGCATCACTGTGGACTGAGGATTTTTCAAGAAGTGTGGGACACTTTAGACTTCAACTAATTTGAGCAGGTGTGACCCTCTATGTCTAGTGGGAATAGCTTTCAAGATGACATTGCTAAAGTGGTCAAGAACCTGAGACTAGATAGGTCAGGAGATTACAAGGAAACCTAATATTACTATCCTGATAAAGGAATATAGCAACAAAACAACTCTTAATGCCATACAGATATAACCATAAATCAGGGCCTTGTTCCATATTCATCAGAGAAGCGTCTTCTTGCCAGAGGTAGAAACTAACACAGACCCACAACTGGGCAGTGTGCAGACAGTGAGAGACTGGGAACACACAGTCCTAAATGGGACATCTGCATCAACGCCCTACCCTCAAGACTCGAGGGTTTGTGGGTAAGAGGAGAAAGTTTTTAAGAGCCAGAGGTGATGGATGACACCAGGTCTTCCAGCTGCCACAGGACTGACACGCGCATGAATTCGCAGAGGCAGACAGGAGCAACACACACAGGGCCTGCACAGGTTCAGGAGAGATGGGGTTCCAGCACCAAGAGGGGGGATGTGGACATGGGTTCCAAACCCTAACCAGGAAGATATCTGCAAGCAACACCTGTTGGCAAAGAAAAACATTGGTTTTCCGTAATGGAGTCTCACCGGGCATTTCAACCACCCTTCTGGTTGATACACGCCAGGAGTAACTGGCCAACACAAAACAAAGTCAATGATCATTTTCATGAAATTTTTGGCTCCTTTTGTTTGGACATTTTTGTCTTCTTGGTCTTTTGTTTATTTTGGTTTTATGTGTATGTGGGGGCGGGTCTTGCTTTTCCTGTTGTTTTGTTTTTGTTTGTTTTAAAGATAGAGGGGACACATGAAGTTGAGTGGGAAGGGATGTGGGAAGGACCAGGAAGGAGTTAGGAAGGAGAAAACATGATCAAAAAGTGCTGTATAATTTTTTCAATTTATAATTTTTTTTTCAATTTTGATGGGGGCTGTTTCTTTGAGACAGGGTTTCTCTGTGTGTAGCCCTGGCTGTCCTGGAACTTATCTGTAGATCAGACTGGCCTCGAACTCAGAGATCTGCTTGCCTCTACCTCCCAAAGAATGGGGTTAAAGTCCTGAGCCACCACACATGGCAAAAATCTTGGTTGTTGCTGGGTACTATTATTATTGTTGTTACTGTTATTGTTATTATTGTGGTGCCTGGATGAATGGCAAGCTGAGCAATTGTTCTGGAACATTCTGGATATGTGACTTCATTGGCCCCAAGGGAACACACCATGGAAACACTGTGCACGTCCAAGGCCATACCACCCTGAACACGCCCGATCTCGTCTGATCTCGGAAGCTAAGCAGGGTCAAGTCTGGTTAGTACTTGGATGGGAAACACTGTGCCCATGTTCTTCAGCCCGCCCTGGTGGGCCCTGCACAGGGGGAAGCCTCTTGTGCATGCTCGGAGGGGCCCAGTACTGGCAAAGATGCCAGAACAAACAGGTCTGTGGACACATGAATCCTGGAGCCTGGCTCTGCTCTGCACTCCCCCCAGGGCTGGGGGAATAGTCAGTCTGCATGGAAGAGAAAGGCAAGAGCAGGTCCAGCAGGGCCCTTTTCACTTCCTCCACGCAGCCCTGAGAGCCCTGACTGATGAGGTCAGACTTGCCGTTTCACACCCCTTGAATGCTTGAGTTAGCAGTTTGCGCATCACAAGACCTCATGGGACAGAGACCCCACCAGAGAGCCCTACTTCCTAACCCAAGAAACTACTGTGATTCTTCACTAACCTGAAGCCTCCTGCTGCCCCGCCTCCCACCCCGCCAGGCACTAGCCCATGACTCTCTGGCCACCTGCCCTGAGCACTTTCCCTGGCTCCAGGGAAGCGCTCACATCTTCAGCCTTCAGCGAGTGACCTGTGGCTGATTCCCGGTCTGCTCTTCCCTCTAGCTTTTCAGCTTCCTGCAGAGACTGCTTCTCCTACCCTTTGACTCCTATCTCTACTCTAAGCAGAGGCTGGCTACGTGATCGTCATTGGCCGCAGGTATGTAGACGAAGGGCCAGCCCGTCCACTCCAGGACAAAGCCTGACTAGTCTTACACGCTCTATTATTTTTCCCTTTGTTTGTTTTCTGAGACAGGATCTCATATAGCCAAGGCTGACCTTGGCTTTCAGCTCCTACTCTTCCTGCCTCCACCTCCCAAGTGCTGAGATTACAGGCTTACCTGCAGATCTACAGAAGTACCCATTGGCTATGCCTGCTGCTGCCGCCATATTTGTAGCTATGCTGATAGCCAATGAGTGACCCAACCCCAGGTCTGGGACTGATCTTCCATTCTGGGAGCTACAAGAGACAGGGGATACTGAGTCACCTTTGTTCCCTATCCTCTTTATTTCTTTCTTTAGGAGTGGGGGCAGGTTGTGTACGTCTGTGCACGAGTGCACATACGTGTGTATGCAAGCACATGTACATGTGTGCACATGCACTTGTAAGCCAGGGGACAATCATAGGTCTCATTCCTTGGTTATGTGTGTGAGGCAAGGTTTGAACATGTCAAGTAGGCTAGGCAGGGTAGCCAGCGAGCCTGGGGATCTTCCTGTCTCCACCCCAGTGCTGACGTTACAAGCTGCACCCCCACCCCTGGCTTCGTGCATGAGCTCTGGGAATAAGACTGTGTCCTTGCCCTTTACCACCTGAGCTATCTCCTCTGCCCTCTTACCTTCTTGCAAAAGCTCAACTCAGGGCGCTCGCCTGAACATCTGAGAACACACAGATGGCTGGTGCATACTTCAAGTACCGTAGGAACCAGACCCACTTCCAGGGCCTCCAGCTCAAGGATGGTTGGCCACAGACACACTGGAGATGCCTCCTGGCACCCCAAGCAGAGGTACATCTAACGATCTGGCCTGTTCTCCACATATGCTGGCAGGCCAGGCAATGCACCCGGGACTGCGTAGCCATCCTTCTGAGCGTGGCTCTAGCCCCCCTCCCAAGCTTCAGAGACGAGCAGCCTCTCTCAGAGACTGTCCACCATCATCAGCTGCCTGTTGGGCACCCCAAATCATTGAAGAGAGGCCTCGGTCGCATGGACTTTTCTAGCAGAGTGGCAAGTGTCCCGAGGGAGCTGCATTGGCCAAAAGCAACAGGAAGCAAGAAAACCAGTGGAGAAGCAGAATTGCTGGCCAGCCAGCCATGCATTTGACATCTGGGCATACCCAGCCTCTATACCTCTTAGGGTGGGGAAAAGCTGAATACTCCCTGCCTCGGGGCTCTTCAGTCAGGGGGTCCATGGTACAGAACATGCGGTCCCTAGAAGGGACTGGCTAGCATGGTGTAGGGGGGAAGGGGGACCTGCTGGGGGCCAGACCTTAGCTAAGGTCAGCTGCTCAGTTCCAGAGCAAGGTGGGCGGGCTCTGGCTGGAGCAGAGGGCAGCAAGGGCTTCCTTCTCCTTCTGTGACCCTCTGGGAGCCCATTCTCCATGAGAAGCCAGGAGAGCATAGTCCCGGCCGCCTCACACTGAACATCTGGGGCTCTTACAGGAGTCAAGGCCACTTCTCTAGAGAGTCACAAGAGTTGTGATGGCCTGAGTTGCTGGTCCCCACTGCCTACTCAGGGAGAGCACCACGTTCTGAAGCTCAGAAATAAGGAGACCTTGACTCTTGGAGATAGCCCCACTATTTTGAAGTAGTTTAAGAAGAGAGATTGTGAATTATCTTTTACAATTGAAGGCCCTCTCTAGACCTCTCCAAGGAGGCTATGAAATAACCTTGGCAGACTGAAGACTCCTGGCTGCTTGGTGTCTCTGTCTCTGTCTCTGTCTCTGTCTCTGTCTCTGTCTCTCTCTCTCTCTCTCTCTCTCTCTCTCTCTCCTCTGTGTGTGCATGTGTGCAGTTATGTGTGTATACTTGCATACGTGTGAGGAGCTGTGTCTAGAGACCAGAGATCAATGTCAGATGTCACCCTCAATTGCTTTCTACTTTCTCTTTTGAAACACAGCCTCTCCCTGAACCTGGGCCTCACTCACTGCTTCAGTTAGAATCACTGGCCAGTAAGCCACGGGGCTCCTTCTCTCTCAGCCCGTTACCATTCTATCCCCAGGACCGGCCTTACAGACACAGACACCTCTCCAGCTTCTATGTAGGTCCCGGGGATTGAACTCAGGTCCTCATGTTTACACAGCAGCCACCTCACCCAACTGAGCTGTCTCCCCAGCCCCTGTGTATAGTTTCTAAGCCAACAAACTGCACAGCATCCAATGTGTGTAAGGATGGCCTGGGCTCGTCTTGAATTATGAACTAAGCAGACGGCTCTGTGCAGTATGGCTACTCAGTCCTTCAGGCAGCTGAATGCAAAACACACCATCTTGTTGGGTAATGCAAAAGGCTGTTGGCTTAAACTGACCGCCTCCCACAGCCTGGATAGAAACGGAGGCACAGACCCACCCTGCAGAGACACAGAACGTGAATTGGGCCTTACTGCAAGGGTGGCCTCCTCCCACCACGCTGGCTTCTCCACTAAAAGGCCCTAGCTGGGCTGTGGGTTTCAGAGAACAAGCCCCGAGGGTGAGTCTCCTGGGCATCTGGTTTATCCCATTCACCGAGAACCCCGAGGCCACCCCGAGCTTGGAGGGACATATTCCTTTTTGTTTTGGTTGTGTTTTGATGCCGAGTTCCAGACACTGGGAACCAAATGACATCATGTGAGGACAAGATCCAAGCCCTTCTTACCCGCTGGCCTGTGTTAGCCGGATGGCGTCATCCACCGGAGAGTTATGGAGAAGGCGATCATCTCCTGGAACCACGGGACGATCTGTCCCGAGGGGGCACACACAGCAAGTGCAAGTGAAAAGCCGGGTGACATTTCGATTTCCAGTAATTTGCAGGTGATGTTTGAAGGATGTTTGGCACACGTCGAGGCCGGAGCAACGACACAATGGAAATTAACCCCTCTGCCTCCACGCTCGGTTAGCCATGACCTTCTCTGTTCCAACTGACAGCAGAAGGCACCCGAAAAGGGGGTGTGAGGCCTTCCTTGCTCTGTGATCCAAGATGAGGTTCAGTCACACACATTTATGAACATCTTGTATGGTGTATCTCTTCTTTTAATCTTCTGCGCAATCAATATTGAGATGATAATTTGAAGAAAACATAAACAAGCACAGCAGTCTCATGCTGGGCTTATTTGAGGTCCTCAAGAGATTTCTGGTGGACAAGACAAAACAGACACACTCAGAGCAGAGCAACAAGGACAGAGGAAGCAGCATCTCTCCGAGGGAGCCTGGGAGGGTCATGAGGCCTAGTCTCTTGCCCTCATGTTGTCCCTCCTCCCATTAAGAAGCTTAAGTCACACCCAGCCACATCATGCTTCTGACTGCCCTAAGATGCTCATGTGTACGGGTGGCCCAGCCTCAGTACACCGTGGCGGCCAGGGACACTTCACATGTACTGAGCTAGAATGTTATAGAAGGCTCTCCCCAAATGGGGTCCAAAAGGAAACCCTGGGTTTAGGAGAGCCGAGGGTAAGGACACATTACCTTTGTCCCCTCATCTATAAGGCTTATGTGCATTACTTTCCTTGTCACTATGGTAACGGACCTAACAGTAACATTTTAGAGGAGAGAGGCTTGTTTTGGCCCATGGTTTCAGAGGGACTTCAGCCCATCACGTTGGTGGAGACATGGCAGAGGGAGCGTCCCAGTCTGTCTGTGTGTGTCCACATGACAGCTTGACCATGAAGCAGATACGAACTCAGAGAGGCCAACTTCTGTCAGCCAGGCCCCGCTTCCTAAAGATGCCACAACTGTCGGAACACTACCACAAGCTGGGAACCCCGCACTTAAGATCTGAGCCGGTGGGGGGACATTTCAGAGTCAAACCATAGGAAGGGTACATGTCTCAAAATTCCCAGTGAACACTGAAGCCTTGACTCATACCAAACCTTGTATCGAGTAGGCCCCTTTCTTATGTGAACATCCTTGTCAGTGTAGGGGTTAACAGCAAGCGCTGAGAGCAAAACAAGACAAATATAGCAATACTCTCTTTCAGATTCCTTCATGGGCACTCCTCTTCTTTCTTCATGTGTACCAAGGGGACAAGCCCACAAAAGGAACAAAACAAGATGGTGGCACAGGTACGTTGCTGTAGAGCTGGGCTAAAATCAGCTTCAGCACAAACACTGTAAAACGGCAGCTATCGATCTGATACCCAAGATGGCTACCAAAGGGCTAATGGGCAGGCGGTGTCCTGTGTGGGAACACTGTATGAAGGGATGATATGTGTGCCAAGTGGGGCGGCATGGGACAGCCCAGGATTTCATCATGCCATTCAGAACACCGTGCAACTTAAAAACATATGAACTGTTTGTCTCTGGAATTTTCCACGGGATATTTGTGAACTCTAGCTGATTTGGGGTAGCCAGAACCACAGAGATCAAAAACACAAGTCAAGGCGACAACTACTGTCCTCAGAAAGCTCTGGGTGGAACAGGCGTTATGAGAAGGTCAGTGTGGTGAGGGCGGTGAGAAAGAGCATTGAAGAAAACCTAGGAAAGACCCTGAAGGACTGGGCTCTAACCAAACCCTAAAACAGCTCAGTCTCTAGCTGGCCCTCCTCTAAATCCGGTTCACTTGACTTTGATAATACCTTTTCTTCGGTTATGTCCCATGTGGTGAGTGTGACAGTTGTCAGGGCGAAGTGGGGTCTATTCACCCTCCCCATGGGTAGAAAATGGTCTGTAAGTACTGGAGAGATGGCTCAGCAGTTAAGACCATTGGCTTTTTTTCCCAGAGGACCCAGGCTGGATTCCCAGAACCCACAGGGTAGCTCATAACAAGCTGTAACTTGAGTTCAAGGAGATTTTATGCCCTCTTCTGGCTTCAATGGGAATAGCATGCATGTGGTGTACATGCAGACAAAACATTTAAAAAGACATAAAGAATATATTTAAAAAAAAAAAAAAAGGAAGGAAGAAGTTAGTGGTAGCATTCTAAAAAAACAAACAGGAAAAGAAAGTGGCCAATGGTGGTACAGGCACGGGCCACAGTCCCACTGTGTGTCCGTCTTCCTGTCGTGACTCTCAGACCCTGTGCTGGCTGAATCCAGAAGCAGAGCTCTCTCTGAGTCTTCAACCTTTCTGAGACAACTGACCCAAGATGTCAAAATTCTCCCCAGATCAAATTGTCTTTTCATCCAGTTCTATGACCCTCTACAGAGGGGACCCGCGATGGCCCCTTGCCTGTGAGAAGGGTGTTACCCAGGGTCAGCCAGAATGTCCTGACTGAGGAGCTCAGCACTCTGCCAGCCTTGACTGCTGCCATCCCAAGGCCTTGCTTCCAACATAAGAGGTAAAATAAGCTGGGCCTGCAGGGATGCCAGACTTTAAGATGGGGTTAAAAGGCACACTTCCCACTGTTTCCTCCTGGAGCCATGTTCCTTCAGAAGCTACAAGGATGAATCTATAGAAGGACCCAGACTCAGACTGGGGGCTAGAGGGGACCCCGGAGAATCCAGTCTAGGCTGGGAAGATGGATCAGTCAGCTGGCATGAGGGCCTGAGGTTGATCCACTGACTGTGATACTGCAGGGTTGTGGCTGTAGCTCTGAGAGCAGAGACAGATATATTCCTGGGCAGGCGGAATGGAGTGTCACTGGCCAGACGGTCAAGCTCAATCAGTGAACTGAAGGCAAACAAACTACAGTAAACAAACAAGCAAAACCAAGACAGATATTACCTTAGAAATAATACCTGCAAGACAGTGTGTGTGTGTGTGTGTGTGTGAGAGAGAGAGAGAGAGAGAGAGAGAGAGAGAGAGAGAGAGAGAGAGAGAGAGAGAGAGAGAACAAGAACCAAAAGGTACATACAGTATCTGCCCATCTGCCCAGGTTGCTCTTTCCCTGGTTTCTCTGGGAACGAGATGCTTTATAGATGGGTCCTCCCTCTGTGAAGACCTGCTTATTTAAATACAGCTCACATGACCTGCACTATTCTCAAACTGCATCAGAAGCAGTTGTCAAATGTCCTTGTTCTGAAGGGAGAGCCGTCGGTCCCATTGATCAACTTGGTGACATCAGTAAACATGGATCCAAAGCAGTCAGCGCCAAGGTTGCTGGGTTGAGAATCATCCTGCCAAGGACCTATCCTCCAGGATGCTGAGGCGGAAGGACTCACAAAGAACAAACGTGGCCACAGCAATAAATCAAGAAACAGGAGCGACTTCAGACACCAGCGTCCTTCCAAGAGGCTGTCTCTAAGGCCTGCTTTCACGGGGCTGCAGAGGAGGGATGCTCAGATGGAGGGATGCTCAGGTGGAAGGATGCTCAGATGATAGAGGGATGCTCAGATGATAGAGGGATGCTCAGATGGGGGGGATGCTCAGATGGAGGGATGCTCAGATTCCCCATGTAGCAGCAAGAAAGCCAAGACCTCACAGACCAGTGAGTGCAGACGACAGAAGCCAAAGAAAAATCATGTGTGCCATCAACATGGGTTATAGAATGCAGCCAGAAGCATGACACACCCTGAGGGACTGATTTCCAGTGGGCTACCATTCTAGCACCTTTCTAGGCACCCCCAAAGTGTGGTCAGAGTATCTCTGTTGTTGGATATGTATCTATTTGAGGCTTGAGGCAACCCCATGACCATCAGCCATTTTAAACCTGAAGAAACTGAGACCTTGGGAGAGCACACAGGCCACATAGCTGATGAGGTCATTGGGCCTGCTTACTGCCAGCTGCCCTTCCAGGCCACTGTGCCTGGTGGTCTTCGCGCCTCATGGAATACCTGGTGTAAACAGTGATAGCCCCCGGGAAATAGAAGCATCTATAGGAGGTGCTACCTCACCACCAGAGGCTTAGGTGATCCCGACCCTTCACGTTCCTACTGCCACGGCACCCCACCAGAGACTGGGTCTCAACCCGTTCAGGGGCCCACCCCGAAGGACACCACAAGACCAGTCGCGTGCCACATGGAAAGCACCTCTGACTTACAAGTTACTTTACATCCATTTTCTCGCTGGAGCTTGGCAGCGGGGCCAGAAGTGATTAACCCTGTCTTATTGGTGAATACAATGAAGACAGGCAGTGACACAGCAGGGCTAGCTGGCAGCCTCGGTCACCTCAGGGGAAGAGCACGTAAAGCTTAAAGTAAGGGCCTTGCCACCCCGTCCTAAGGAAAAAGACAGATGTTGTGAAAGCATGCCCACCCTGGGGTGGCCACATTCTGTCGTGCCCACCCTTCTGGGGTGACCACTTTCTGTTTCTCTGAAGTGGTCCTTGTCTTCCTACTGCCCCACCACACTGAGTCTCCATGGAAATCTGCAGGCTGGGGGCCACAGTCTGGATTTTGAAAAAGCTGATCTGATGTGAGGGGCTTCTACACACAGCACTAGCCTGAGAGTGAAGTCAGTGTCCCTGAAGACATCACACAGGGACATTAAGGACGGGTGACCAGCCCTGGCTGCCTTGTGACACTTCCCAGACCTCCACACAGCTGTGTCAACAGCAGCCTAGGAAGAAGCAAGAGCCTGGGCGAGGGGACCCGCAGAGCTGAGCCTCCCTCAGCCGCCTTGGAAGGGAGCCACTTCTCACATCTACGATGAACAATGCTGCCATGTTTCTTTGTTTGCAGGGAGGTTTCCAGTGAAGAACAACTGTCAACGACTCAGGAGGGCTCCCAAGTCCCATCCAAGGCTTTCTTCTTCACAAGTGGGCTTTTATAAACAGTCTATTGCTCATTTCACCAAGGTCAAAAAATCAAGGCATGAAGGAATATTCCAAAGATATTTCCACATGTGCCTCTGTGCTATACTGAAGTCTGAAAGGCCAAACAGAGGTCTTATATCAAGAAAATAGCATCTTCAAACGCTAATATATTGCTAGAGTAGGGACATAAGGAAAGACTTCCGTTACCACGGGGGCTTCAGGAGGTAGTCTCCCATGGGGGCTGATAATGTGCCCCCAAGGTCAATGTGTTTTAAACACTGGGTCTCCAGTAGACGGTGCTGTTTGGGGTGAGGGTTGTAGAAACTTTCTGAGATATGCCTCTGGAGGAAAGTGGGCCACTGTGGGGGAGGGCAGGACTTGAGGACGTGAACTGTGGCCCCACTTCCTGATCTGAGCTCTCTCTTTCCAGGCTGACAGCATGGAGCAAGATCTACTCCCCCACCATCCCTGCCTCCCCACTGCGATGGACTGTGTCCCCTGAACTGTGAGCCACAGCCAGGCCTTCCTCCCTTCTGTCGTGCCAACCAGGTGTGCCGCCGCAGCCACTGGAAACATCAGGGCACAGTTTCCGAGTTTCAGCGCAGACAGATGAAGAGGTTCGTTCAGTGGTGAGCATACAGAGCTGTAGAGTGTGCTTCCATCACAGAGCTGCACACCACACCTACAGCAGTGAAAGGGGAAGGTTTCACGATGTACGTACTTTACCAGGATCACAGACAAAAAAACCTTCAATAGTTTTATTTTTTTTTTAAATCTCATCAGCATGTTTTAAAGAACCTAAAAGATTTTTGTAAATTTATCTTTTTTTTTCCTGTTTAATACTGAGAAATAGCCTAGCTGATTCTTCCTGGAGTGTGAGCTCTGTATTCAGAGGGCCTGGTTTGCCCCCCCACTCTCAGAAACGTCAGGCATGAGGATTGCTGTGGCTCACGTACCTGCTGGGGCAGGTCTTAGGTCTGAATCATCCTCTCTCTGCTCCCTCCCCGCTCTTCTTGGACTGGGCACAACACTCTGTGGTACGATCTCTGCTCTGTGCCCTGCCCTCTTGCTACTGTAGAGCCTGCGCAGAGTATTCTAGTGACCCACCTATGAGATCATATGGAAAAGCCAAGACCGGTTCTGGGTTTTGACTCATGATCCAAAGCTCTCAGGGATGTCAGTCAGCTGGTTCCAGACAAATGGTTCTTCAGCAAAAAACGTTTGGCACAGTCCTCCAACATTCTGAGCAGTCCTATGGGCTGGGTGAAAGGCTGAGCAATTTCTCTAGGACACCATAGCTGGGCCCTCCATCCCTCACTCACCCTCTGAGACTCACTGGTGTATATATAACTCAGGGTGGAGTATGAAACCAAAGTCCCCGCAGTTGCTGGAAGGGCCTCTGCTTTCTATTTCTGGAAGCTTCCATTAACGAGTATGAATCACCCCTCCAGATACTCTCATGGGATCTTTACGATGTGTTGTCTTACTCAGAGGCAAACCCCAAAACAGTAACGAGCTAATGGATGCTTGTCACGTGCCAGGCACCCAGCTATCCCATCTCACATCCCAAGAGCCCTGCAAACTTTCCTTGGTCCCCTCGTGAGAGGAAGGAACTGAAGGGCATCAGTGCTAAGCAATCTTGCCCAGACCACAGTGAGTACCAGAACCAGACTATGCCCTCCTACCCCAAAATCTCACTTTCTCCACAGAGGTGGGAAATAGAGATGCCTCATGTTGGCATTGAAGACACAGTTTGCAGCCACCCTCTCTCTAACTGCTCTGAGTCTCGGGTTCAGAATGGATTACGAAAACATCTGCTCCAGGAACTGAACCTCCTGGCTCAGCAGTTAAGAGGACTTGCTGCTCTTCCAGAAGACATGGGTTAAATTTCCTGCACTCATAACTATCTGGAACTCCAGTTCCAGGGGATCTGATATCCTCCGAGGACTCTGCACATGTGTGGTACACTGACATACATGCAGGCAAAACACCCATACACATTAAATAAGTTCCTATTTTAAAAAGAAACCTCTGATCCAGCTCTTCCATCAGGATCCACAGTGTGCCTGCCCAGTGAATGACGGTCAGCCCAAACACAAGACTCCATCCTTTGGAGTCAATAGGAGATTGACCCGGTGGGTAGAAACTCCACCACCTCCTCCTAAAGGGCTCTCTCTTGCACACAAGATCCTTAATCACCCAACTGATGAGAAGTTTATAAAGGATAAGACCTTAGCCATATGGCTTGAGGTAGGCTGTGACCAGAGACAGATAAAAGACTCCCACCCTCCCCTACCTGCTCCCCTTCCTGGACCCCAGCAGGTGCTTTGCAGCTGAAAAGCCAGCTCCCAGAAGCACCTGCCAGGTAACCAGAGATGGAACTCAGCTTCACGTAACTTGTAAGGCCGAGGAGCTCAGTGTCACAAAGGCTGATCCAGGTGTAGTATATGCAAACAGCTCTGCTTGAGTCCCAACCCCTGACACACCTTCATCTGCAGGTCTCAAGTCCCTGGGAGAGACAACCTTCCCTGGTACAAAAGTGCGTTGTGCCAGCCTGTGCAGACAGCCCTGGCTTCTGGAGCCCTCTCTGCCACCCTGTCTCAGGCAAATCTTTTCACAGGTGGGGCTTGAAAACTGTTCCCAGCACTTCATCTTTGTAGCACGCTTGTCATCAAAGCAGTGTGTGTGTATGTCTGTGTGTGTGTCTGTGTGTCTGTGTCTGTGTATGCCTGTGTGTGTGTGTGTGTGTGTATGCATCACTCATCAGATAACATCCGCCTGTTTTTTGTGACAGAGTTTCTCATTAGGACCTGGTTGGCACGCACCAAATTGGCTAGGCTGGCTGGCTGCTTGTTATCACCTGTGAAATGCTGGGATTACACACACGTGCCACCAAGTCTGGCTTTCAAGCCCAGAGAAGCTCTTGAGGGTTCATCAGTGAGAACTCCAAGCCCTACCTGAGAAATAACCTCACCAAATACCAGAAAGCCAAATATTTTGCTGCTGTGGCAGAGTGAGAGCCTCCTCCTAAGTCCTGCCGCAGCTCATTGGTTAAGGGGAGACGTGGTCTTATTCCCCACCATGACCTTCTGGTAGGAATATCTGCGAGACTAAATAATGGACGGCTGGGGAAGACGTCGCCCTCCCTGAGGCTGCCATCTCCCGCAGTCCAGTGTTGTGTCTGGCCTCTTCTGATAACAAGATGCTGTGTGTCTCCACGTAAACGCGAGCTCGGGCAGCATATGGCTTTGACGCACCGTCTCCGACTGCTAATGGGCATCAGCCTCTCGCTCCACCAGGGTGCAGTCGTGGGGGTCCACCTTCCCCTCACCCTCAATCTGTCTGCCTCAGCCGTCGCTAATGGAAGCAGATCGAGCGTCCCAGCATGCAGTGCTGCACAGACTTGAGCAATCATCCCCCGTGAAACGTGGGATGGAAATAAACCTGCTGTCTCTGGGAGATGTTTTTGGCTAAGGCCGTTTAAAAGTCAAATCCAATCAAAACATCTGCAAAACCAGAGGTGCGGATGTCCTTGGGAACGATCCTACCCTAGAGCAATTTAAATACATTCTGGAGGTGATTTTAGACTCACCTAGTTCTCCTGGGTAGCAGGCTCTATTTATGGAGATCAGTGAACTGTGTCGTGGCCACATTCATACACAGAGACCTTGGGACAGCCTTCCTCCCTGCAGGTAGCATATAATGCTCTCTGGTGGCATCTCAGTGACAATGGACAGCCACCTGATGTGCCTCACCATCAACCACAATTGTGTGTGTGCGTGCGTGTGCGTGCACATGTGTGTGTGCTCACCTGTGTGGTGTTTGTATGTGTATACACATTTGAGTGGTTGTGTATGCCTGTGCATGTGCTTGTGGAAGTCAGAGGGCAATGCTGGGCATATTCTCCCCACCCCCCCATACATACATACATATAGCATAGTCTCTCACGGAACTTGCTGCTCTCTGATCAGCTGGGCCGGATTAGTCAGCAAGCTCCAGGAATCCATCTTTCTCCTCTCCTCGGAGGCAGGGGTTACAAGTGTGCTCCACCCTGCCTAGTTTTTCACACTGGTGCCAGGGATCTGAATTTGGACACCTGGGCTTGCATGCCAAGCCCTTTACCCAGCTAACCATCCCCTCAGCCTGACTTTCCTAAATTATGTGTACGTGCAGGCGTCACACACGCATGTGAGCACCGGTCCAGAGGCCAGAAGACAGCATCAGATCCCGGGGAGCTGGAGTTACAAGCGGTTGTGAGCTGCCCAGCGTGGGTGCTGGGAACTGAACTGTTTCGTCTTGGCAGCCCATTGACCCTCTTTAAAATAATATTTTACATTTTGAGTGTGCACTCATTGTATATGTGACTATCTCTTCGCATCAGATTCTTAGGAACCAGATTTTAGAGCCTCAGGTCTGTTTCTCTTGCCCAATCTCTCCATTGAGCAAAGACAAGAAGCACCTGTGCCAGCCACAATCACAAGAGAGAATCAAGAGTCCAGGGAGGTTATCAGGTGAGCTGACTGATGGATGGATGGATGGATGGATGGATGGATGGATGGATGGATGGATGGATGACGCAGGATGTAGAGAAAAGAAAGAAGAGGAAGGCCAGGGACGCAGGCAGGAAAGTAAGTTCAGCATGGCTCAGACTTCATCAGGACCAAGACTGGCCTCCAGATAAAGGCAGCAGCCTCCCTGAGGGCTGAGTGAGCGTGCCGGGGGCCTGCATCCGAGGATTTAGCGGGCTATTGAAGGACACACTGCCTCATGGCCCAAGAACCAGACAGGACAGAATAAGCCGTGGAACAGGCCACGCCTCTGCAACAGGCCACGCCTCTGGAACAGATCCTTCTGAACCAAGCAGGGTACTGGTTCAGACCCAAGCCCTGGCTGAGCCAGGACAAATCAGCTACCAGAAGCCAAAAAGGGTCACCTAGTGGGAAGTCTTCACTGGGACATTATTCCTGACACTGTCAGCGTATCAGAAGACCTGAGCTGAAGAGACTATCACCTTGTACCTTGTGGGTCAGACAACTCCACACTCAAACATACACACATACACACACACATGCACACACACATGAAACTTCATCAGTGTCCACAGAACCCTGTCGTCACGTGGGATCCAAGCTCTGGTGCGGGCAAAGCATGAACACCCACTTCACTAAGCACCACCTCCCAGGCCCAGGGGAACATTTCTCTGTATTCTCCTCAATGTTTTTCTTTTATCGGGGAGGGGTGGCTGGGAAGGGTGATTCCAAAGCCCTGGAAAGTCTGAGTATTGTCCTACGTTTACCGTCGGAGGAGCTGACATTCCGGGATGAGGGAAGGCCGGACGCAGCACGATGCAGCTTTAGCTCCACGCCGTAGATGAACAGACGAGTCTTGCGTGGCCCGTGCCAGTGGGCCCGCCCCTCGGCCTGCGTGCTGCCCTTCCTCTTCAGACTTCTGCTCATGGCGATGCCCAAGGAGCAAGGGGGCTCCTGCAGCCACTCTACCCGGCAGCGGGGAACAGTGTGCTGTACTCAAGGAACCCCGTTGTCCTTGAACTGGTCTCCGTGATCTAAACGTGACTCACAGGTTGTAGATCCGGGTCCTGCCTTGGCAGCCAGGTGGGAGAGGAACGCTGGAAGCGTGAGCTGATTGCAGGATATTTAGCCAGATTTATTTAATTCTCACAAAACTAAATTTAAAACTCAGGTGCACCTAAAGAGTTCTCATTTACCACTTGGCATCTACGAGTTCTAATTTGTAGTGTTGCCTCCTCCTGCTT